TACCTCTATGTTGTGATCCTTGTCTACCAGTTCTTGTCTTTTCCTTCCATACCCTATCCAGTATGGGATCTTCTATTAATGTTCTTCTGGATGATGATAAGTCGGGGGTTTCGAAGGGCTCTAGGACATAGGGAAGATGAATGGGCACTGGGGTATCAGGGGCCCGTCGTCCAACAATCTGTCCTTCTTTATCATTGCGATAACTCTAGCCTAGAAAGGAGAATCTTGATACTTCCAGCGTGCGCCTTGTTGGACTTGATAAATATCATGCTGTTTTTCCCAAAGTACTACCATTAGTAGAGATTAAACCATTGTCTGATGTCCCATTGTGGCTTATTCTACATCCATCTGAGGTCGTTCGACTGCATGTTGGTGTTGTTGATTAAGTGCGAATGATCCTAAGATCTCCCTGATCTCAAGTATTGGGATACATAATATCTATTAGGAGTAAAAAATACAAATATGAAATAAAAGTCCTTAGAGTGTCATCTCATATCACAAGTTACTGGCCACAAAGTATCACAGTGACAACAAAATATTTTAGTATCAAATAACAAAAGAAATTTTTATTGAAAAATAAATATCAAAATTAATTATTTAATTTCTCTTTCTGGAAAAGCATATTATTTAGAACTTGAGGAGGATTAGGATTATAAGTTGGTCTTTGATCTGGATATAAGGATTGTTAAGCTAGGGAAATACTCCAGAAAGAAGGACTGATTAAACTCATCTGTCACTCACTGATGGTTCTAGAGGAAAGTGAATTTGAAAGAATATTTGTTTGAACTAGTTGAATCCACAGTTCTTCTACATGAAGACGAAGTACTTAAATTTTTGAACATACTACCAACTATTGAGCTTGAAGGAGCAAAGTTATTTGTTGCTGATATTGAACCATAGCTTCTTGACCATGAAGATGAAGCTATTGCAAGGTATCTCTCTGAGCTCTAAATTGCTCATGAAGTATGAAAAGTTTAGTCTGAAGGGAGATCAATTCTTCTTCATATTCTGAACAATGACAACAAAGTAAAGCCCAACCAAGGAATTATATTTTTTCTTGCACCAACATAATGCAACTGATCACTGGATTAGGATGTTCAATAGTACACTCAAGTCTGTTGACACAAGGCATTTTTACGAAAATTGAAATATGGAATATGGGAATTAGTAATGAGCCATTCATCAAGTCTATCTATTTAATATTGAACAAGAACTGATGATCAGTTGGATAAACCATCATATCAAATCAAATTAGAATGGATTAATCATCAATAGTACAACCTTAAAATATATTTAAGGAATGTCTACATGGAAAATTTCCATCAAAAATGCTCAAACTCAGTTGTCAACAATCAACTGCAAGGAAATTGGATTTACTCAAAACTCAAAATAGATATGTTATCCATTTTGGATAAATTCCAAACCAGTATGAACCTCCATATGATCCCATCACCCTAGTAAAGGATAGTATCAAAAATACTCTTTTGGAAATCAAGTAACATATACAACAATCTGATTATATAACCATTTTGATCAATTTATACTATTTAGGAGAACTATTGAATACTATCCAGGACCTTAAACAATTGTGATAACTATCTCCAGGAAAATTCACTTCAAAATTCTTATCGATATTATTCGTAGCTAGGCACACCTATAAAATCTTTCAAGACAATCCAAATCAAATTAATTGAACAAAGTTTTTGTCCATGAACTATCTATTTGGGATAACTAATGGAATGTATCGAAATAATTTTATTCTCTATGTGAGAAAACTTGACTCAGAGGACTTCGCCTTTTAAGGAGGGGAAAGTGTAATAAAAATAGTCTCTAATATTATTGGATAGTTATTTTTAGTCATAATCTTTATTCTATTTCTATTTTTATCTATTTATTTATAATTATTTCTTTAATATTCTTTGATATCCTTATTAGTACTTGATTAGCATAGATCATTTTATCAAATGTAATATGTGATATAATTTACTGTAGATCAGACAGCTTAGGAGATCCAAGTGACCCAAGTGGTCCATTTTTACAAGTAGTCATAATTTGCTCAAAAATAGGATAAGTTTGTAGATAGCTTCACTTGATTTTGAAAGTTTAGGAATAACTTTACTTTTCTTTTAAGAGATTGGATATCTTCTTTTGATTTTAGGACTAAAGAAATTGTCCTAGTTTTCTTGATTTATTAATAAACTTGGGTTCTAAGCAAACTATATTTTTTGTAAAATACTGTATAACACTGTTTAAAGGATTCTTGGTGAATCTTTTCTTGAATATTTCTTTATTATAAACCATTTCTTTAATTCTTTCTTTGGAAATTGTCCTTTTAAAAATAATTCCACTTGGACATATTGATCAAATATAAATTTGATTATACCACTATCTTTTTCTAGGATTGAAAATGCATTCTCCCAAATATTGTGTAATAATATATAATTGATGAGGATCCCCATATTCTGTGAGACCCTCCCACCATTGCAAGGTAAAAAGACTGTTGAGAAATCCAATTTTTGAGGCAATGGAAGATATCCATCAATAAAATTCCTTTAACTAGACATGGCTGCTGAAAGATATCAATAGTTATACAATATGACTGAGAGGTTACATAAGAATCTAGGGTTTACTATAAGTCATAAAAGTTTGCATGAATGGATAAAAAATCAATATCGAAAGAAAAGAAGTAACAAGCAAGACACTGGATCCAAGTAGGCAATAAGTACCTCAGATGGTTGCAAAAAAATAATCAAGATCATGAATGAATAAGTTTCTTAAACAGTCAGGAAGAAGAAAAATATTTCAGAAAGATTGTTTCCTAATGAGAGAAGGTTTTTTAGCAAAGGTCCTTTAAAGGACATGAAGCACTTTTATTTTTTATTTTTATTTTTCTCTTTATGTACACATATTTGTATATTTTTAGATATCTCCCTTCCTTTTATTTTCCCTTTCTCCTATTGTAGTTTCTTGAAATCAATTCCTTAGAAGATAATAAGCAATGACAACCTGCCAGTAATGATAGGTAAGTTAGGAGGGTCTTTATCCAAAACTTATTCCAGAATAAAATATTATTCCCAAGATTGCACTTAGAGGCTTAAGCTCATTTGAGAATTGATGAGTAAGTCAACATGAGATTAGTTTAACCATGATATAATTGCCCAATGTATCTCTATCGATTTTCTTAAAGATTAATAAACACACTATACTGGCCTGACCACGGGTTTAAAAAAAAAAAAAATAATAATAATAAATGTACTTGAAAACGGAAAAATAACTGATTAGAAGCCGCAGCTTGTACGACAATATAAATAACTGTTATTGTGGTGAAAAAGAAAAAAAAAAAATTTTTTTTTTCCTTTTCCAAGCAGAACTTGAACGATCTCTAGGCGTGGTGGCAATTAATTTCCACATACACTCATTGATTGATTATTTATTTTAGCTTCTTTGATTTATTGTTCTCAAATATATACCTTCAAACCCAAGCTATTTTGAAATCATACCACCTCGAACAAAATGTCATCAGTCTCTAAGCAAAAACGTATGGCCAAAAAAGCTGCTAAAAGTTCGTCCACATCGTCTACAGCGAGTAACGGTGCAGCAACAACCTCAAAGTCCGGATCATCCTCGGAGGTCAACGGATTATCATTGGATTCTTTAAAGATCTCCGGTGACAGAACTGCAAATGGTGTTCTCACCTCGCAGCCGATGTCTAAAGACATTAAGATTGAGCAGTATAGCTTGTCTTTTCATGGCCGTGTGTTGATAGAAAATGCTACTATTGAACTTAATTTTGGTAGACGGTAAGTTAATTAAAATTTCTATGACATTATAAGCTTAAATTAAAGCTATTTACCATTGCAGGTACGGTTTAATTGGAGCTAATGGATCAGGTATATATTTTAATTCAGCTAATCAGTGTACTTGCTTGTAAGTTCCCTTGAACGTAAGCTGAACCCGCAAATTATAGGAAAGAGCACGTTTCTTGCGTCTTTAGCCGCGAGAGAAGTTCCGATTCCCGAGCACATTGATGTGAGTGTCAAGTTTTGTTGAATTAATTTCTTGAAGTTTTCTAATGTATGATAACGCCTTTTCCTTTAGATCTATTTATTAAATCAAGAAGCAGAACCGTGTGATCTCAATGCTACCGAATATGTTGTTCGGGCAGCAAAGGAGGAAGTTACTCGGTAAGTTTCTTTGACATATGTACATATGGCTTTGCAACACTAAATTCCTTGCTAATCCCATGGAATTGCTTCATTTTTTTTTTTAATAGCCTGGAAAAAGAAGTTGAAGATATCTTGGCGGAAGGAGATGGTTCAGATGATCCAAGATTAGAGGACTTGTATGATCGTATTTCTGCATTGGACGAGTCGACATTTCAGACTCGTGCTAATACCTTGCTTCATGGTCTTGGCTTCACGCAAACAATGATGAAAAAGAAAACAAAAGATATGTCTGGTGGTTGGAGAATGCGTGTCGCTTTATCAAAAGCTCTGTTTATTAAACCCACACTGTTGTTGTTGGATGAACCCAGTAAGCATTAGAATTTATACAATATTTATATATTATTTATTGAACCTTGGTTAATTTTTTTTCTTTATTTCTCCCTCTTTTTAATTAGCAAATCACCTCGATTTGGAGGCGTGTGTATGGCTTGAAGAATATTTAAAGACCTACGATCGGTAATTGGGAGTTTCATTATTTAGTATTTATTTTACATTTGAGCCATGCGCACTGACACGTTCACTCTTTCACATTTTAGTATTTTGTTGTTGGTCAGTCATTCGCAAGATTTCCTCGATGGTGTGTGCAATCAAACCATACATTTGAATGTAAGTGCCCACTACCATCTTAATGCTTCCACTTTTATGCATTTATAAATAATTACAATAATGCACATTGGAATGAAATTATTCGTAAACAGGAAAAGAAGAAACTAGTCTACTACGGAGGTGGTTATTCCACATTTGTTAAGACAAAAGCAGAATTGGAGGTCAACCAAATGAAAGCGTACCAAAAACAGCAGGATGAAATTGCTCACATAAAGAAATTTATTGCTTCTGCTGGTACATACGCTAATCTGGTAGGTAAAATTTTGTTTTTCGGTGATTTGAAGTATTATAATATTTATATACAACAATTGACAGGTCAGACAAGCCAAGAGTAAGCAAAAAATTATAGACAAGATGGAGGCGGCGGGTCTCGTTGAAAAGGTTTGCGCATAACTTTTTCGTTCAACATATTAATTTACCACGGAATTCATTGTTAAAGTTGAAATCAACTTTTGTAAGGTTGAGGCGCAGTTAACTTTCAAGTTTAAATTCCAAAATGTCGAAAAATTGCCACCACCCGTACTTCAGTTCGATCAAATTTCATTTTCTTATAATGGAAGTACCAAAAAAGAAGATCTTTTGTATGAAGATTTGGATCTTGCAGTGGACATGGACTCCCGAGTGGCACTCGTGGGCCCCAATGGTGTAGGCAAGTGCCTTTCAGAATATTATTCAACGGTTTTTGTAATGTTTTCGTGTTCCCGTTTTCTCAACCTTTATTTAAACAGGGAAAAGTACTCTACTCAAATTGATGATGGGTGAGCTTCAGCCCGTGAAAGGACGGATTGCCCGTCATACAAATTTGAAACTAGCAAAATACAGTCAACATAGGTATGGAAATTGATATAGCCTGATCTATGGCAGATCTCTTGTTAATATCATATTTATTGCTTTAAATTCCTTAGTGCCGATCAACTTGAAATGGACTTGAGCCCTATACAATATATGAGAAAGAAATTTGCTAGTATGAATGGTGACGTCGATGTAAGTATTATTAGTATTATTCCATTTCATATATTATTTCATGCAAATTAAGCACGTTTTAAATATTTATTGCGTGGATCATCATCGTTCTAGTTCTGGCGTAACCAAATTGGCCGTTACGGTCTTACCGGTGCTCATCAAACATCACTGATCGAGACTCTCAGCGATGGGTTGAAAACACGTCTGGTATTCGCTGAATTGGTGTTGTCCACTCCTGATATCGTGTTGATGGACGAACCTACAAATCATTTGGTGAGAATTTTTGCTTTTGGTTTTACCTGTCATAATTTCAATTAAATTAATCGAATTTTCCTTTCTTGCGATAGGACATGGAAAGTATTGACTCTTTGGCAAAAGCAATCAACGAATTCTCAGGTGGCGTGGTTTTGGTTTCTCACGACTTCCGATTGATTTCACAAGTAGCACAAGATATATGGTTATGCAAAGATCGTACAGTGAAGCCATGGAAAGGATCAATTGAAGATTACAAGAAGTATTTAGCAAAAGGAATCAAAATTTAAAAAAAAAGATGATAGAAAGGCGTGTTCGTGTTAGAGCATTAAATAAAATAACTGTTTCTCTGTTGTAAAATATAGATTAATAGTGCTGCATCTAGTTGGGTATATGATAAAATAAAGTATTTATAATTCAGATTACAGTGGTACTGTGTTAAGAAACTTTTGTTATGTGAAGTTTAATTGCTAATCTATATACATTAAAAGTTCAGTTTAATAGAATGAGTTAGTGACGGAATTCTTTTTTTTCCATTACTCCCCCAAATAAATAAATCTCGAGAAAATGCCTCTAGTCAATCCTGAACTGATCTTCAATAGGAACCAAGCGTCTTTGTCTTCTTCCCCTCTTTTTCTTGCTTCTTTCCGAATAAAATTCGTGAGTCAACATATGAAATTCCGGCGGAAATGGGGATGGAATCTCGGTACGTCCCGGTCTGGAGGCAGGACTTCGCAAGAATATGGCGGAGCAAGTATTGAAACTTACTTCCAGATATTCGGGAATGAATAAGAATGGTTGCATGTAAGGTTTTGGTTTGAAAGTGAGACCGTTTTCGGACAAAGGTTCGGAAAGGAGACAGATGGAGGTTGGTTCCACGGTAACGAGATCACCATCGGATGCCAAATAAGATGGTGCGGAGACCTGGAGGTTGGCGAATGATTATCCTGACCTCCACGGATTCAAGTAAATTAACGGATCGATCGGATTGAACGCTGAACGCATTACCTTTTTTCCATTGACACTGACTTTACCATGAATAACCAATTGCCTCGCGGCCCAAATACTTGGGGCAAAACAACTTCTGAACACAATAAAGTCCAACCTCCTTTCCAAGCACGCATAAGTTAGAACCGATGTGTGCGGATGCTTATTTGCGCTGGTGACCTCTTCGCTCAGTTTAATATTTGTGGTAGGTAGACGAGGTTCGAAAAGACGACGAAACTGTCGTTCGTTCAATTGAGAGCCGTGGTAAGCTCTGGTATCCTTTTTGGCTTGCCATTTTTGTTGGAAGAGCGAACGATTTTGCAGGCGTGGAGGCCGTGATCCTCGACTATGGATGAAGTAAAGATTTTTTTTGGACCATGTCATGCGGACTAAAGCTTTCTTGAAACTTTCAACGGGCTTACGCATCGTTTCGAAGATTCAAATCGATCGACATTTTTTTGATGCTAAATACCCGACTTTCCGGAAAATCTGATGATTGGCTGACCTCATCTACAAATGTTTTTAGATGATTGATTAGTGGATAAGTTGTCTATCATTGCAATTGAATAGCCGACAAAACTATCCAGATGTGAGGATCTGGTTTGGAATATTAAAGATGGAATTGCATGATTCTTCGCACAGGAAACCCAACGCGAACAAAGGAACAAAACAGAAATCCGATTTCAAGGTGAACGTACACACTGCTAATACGATTCGTGACGAGGAGCAAAAACGTAGAACCGTTTTCAAGGCCGTCTTGGAATCCCCGTTCACGGTAAAATGGCAAGTATGCTTAATCATCTAATTATGCATAACCTTATCCAATGCATGCAAAGGCAGAATTAAGTATTCTCGAAAGCTAGGCCTGAAGTTTCAATAACGAACCAAAGATTCATACTTGAAGAACTTTGCAGGTAAACCCAACTTTTTCATTCTTGCATTGGCAATAAAGTTCCTAACAAGAATGTGTCTTGTTTGCTCACAAGAACCTTTTTGGTCGTTGACAATTACCGTCGTCAAATGAAAAAAACCAAACAAGGCAAGCCGGAGAAAAAATCATGCTCCGAAGACGAAACCAAACGGACTAGTGTTAATAAACGTGACTCCGCTCATGACCTTGTGACAGAAAACATGATTTCAGTCGAATTAACACCTAAACCAAACAGCATAGCGCATCAGTTCGGTTTTGTTGTAGGAATAAACGATGTGACAAAACACATGGAGCAGTCATATAGTCAACAGATGATATCAAACTTTCAGCAAAGATGCGCACGACTTTCATCCAGGACGTCGGCTACCAGCATACAGCCTAAAAGTCACCCGGATTCTTTAAAACCTAGAGAACCATTGCGAATGATTTTCGTCTGCAAGGCCGACGTCTCTCCACCACATCTGATCGCACATCTTCCTATTATGGCAAACATCGCAAATGTACTAATTGTCCCTTTACCGGGTGGGTCTTCAAAAATGATTGCCGATCACATTGGAATTTCCAAGGCGACGGTCTTAGGAATAAAGGTAGGAAACGAGACGTAGACGTAGAAATGACACAGAATATATCGGTTATATCAAAATAATTTCTTTATTAAAAGGAAGTATCACCGGAGTTTGATGAACTTTACAAATTAATTCGGGAGAAAGTGATGCCAGTTCACGCACCATGGCTGATGCCTTTAAAGAAGCTAGAAATTTCAAAGAAAAGGAAATGCCCGAGTGAAGAACACGAGGAGACCATAGCTGGACCGTCATCACTAGGTGTCAAAGAGAAATTCGGAGAGCCAACAGAGCAAAATACGCATACCAATTATTACCCAACTCAGATTAAACATCTTAAAACTACCGCTCCCATCAACAAAGAGAAATACAAAGAAGGGAAAACGAAGAAAAAATCAAAGCCACTAAACGTTTAGCGGATTGGATAGATAGCTATGATCTTAAAATAAGTGTTGAGTCTTTAGCAGATGCGTTAATTGTATTTCGAAGCAAGGAGAGTTTCTAATTTCAGAGGAAAATAGATTTTTGGAAAATCTTTGTAATGTTAGCAAAATTAAACGAATGAAAGTTTTCACTAGTATAGAAAATGAGTTGCTTCTTGGAATTACTCAGTCATATTGCTTCTTCAATTTTTAAATTTCAGAAGTCTAACATGTTTTATATTTTCCTACATCATTGTAAAGCTCAAGATGGAAATATCATTTGGATTAATTAACTTACCGAGTCGTAAGCCAACATCTTCCGTCGCGAAGGTGATCATCTAAGGGACGATTTATAGGGATTCTAAAATCCAGTTTTTTATGTCTGCGAGAATTTGGCGAAGTTCGTGGGTCGATGAAGGAGTTGGCAAGGTAGCGACACTACCGGAACCAATATTTGATAATTGAGCATCGACCAGTGATTTTGTTATTGCCCGTGTTATCCCATCGCTATCATACTTGTTGCCTAATTATTTGCATCTCAATTTTACCAAACCTAAAAAAGTTGGTAAATTTAAATGAAAAAGCAATTGGCAACATACCTTCCAAGGAATCTTCTATCACAGATGCCAAGTTTTCATATTTCATGTCCGATGGAGTCAATGTGACCGCCGTTATAATTCCATTTTTGGATTTAAAGAACGCTTTCTGAGCACAACGATTTGTCAATTATTTTTTTTCCTGAGACGATGTGAACTAAAAATATCATGTTCTAAATTACCATGCAACCCCATGCGAAACTTTTTTCGAATTCATATGTGAACTCTGGAGTTTGACCAAACGTCCAATCCCATGACTGAATTGACGAATGAAATCGTTATGAGGTTGCAATAAAAGATCAAAAATATTGCGCCAGTATTACCTTGAATTCCTCACGATACTCTACTATTTTGGGGATTTTGGAAATTACGCTCTCGTCAACATATATGGGCTAGAAGAATATTGAACAATAATTAATTGATTCCACGGGTTAATGTTATTAAATAACAAAACTTACTTGAGTGTCATTAAGATGACTACGATAATGCTCTCTGAAATCTTCTATAATGGCGTCGCAAAATGAATAATGATTCATGGTTGAAGAGTATTCCCGAAGGTTTGTTACGAGAGAAGGAACTGATTCGACGCCTTTGGTAATTAGATTTCGCTGAAAAAAGCAGGGCATGAATCGGTAAGAGTGATGATCAATTTTCCCGTTCGAGTTTCCGAAAAAGTTTGACGCGTACTTTCCCAGCTGTCAGGTACCGTCCAATTCGGTTCAAATCTGTATCGATGAGCATTGTGCCGTGATGATAGGCCCTTGCTGCAACCAATTTAAATGCTGACCCAGAGACGTGCGGTTGATTAAGAAATTATTTAGGACACATTGACCTGTACCTTCTGAAATTTACCAGGATGCTGGTAATTCAAGGAAAAGGATATCTTAAAGTCTTCGATCATGATGTCATGACGTTCGTTGACATAAGCGGGTATGCCGAGTCTCGTTTTTACCGCATGCGCCACTAATTTCGCGGCATAATCGCGAGTAAAGTTTCGACGCGGCGTTATTAAAGTATAATTCGTGTTGCCAATATCCTTTCGTTAAGAATTTTATATACTTGATTACGAACTGCCTAGACTTGGGAAATATAAAGATAAACATTTACATGGAAAACAGTTCCACCACCGCTCTTCCTTCTTATGATCGGTATCCGATGTTCCCGGAGAAGACGGACATTACACTCTTTCCATGGATTCTAGATTAAATACCAATCGTTATACCAACGTAATGATATTCGGATATTAAAATTTACTTCGCGAATACCCACCTGATTTCTCCCAATTACCACACACGAAGTGTTCCTCCATAAGTACAGTATAACATTTAAAGGATTCGTATCTCTAAATAACCTTTACTTGATATCAAACATGATGCAGAAAACAACAATGAATAACATATGTTTCATACTCTTGCTGCATCGAGAAAAAATCATACGGTGAACGGATCACAATTCAACAAAGGTCTATTAAAACTGTACCACTCTTCAAATGCAAGATTCGTCCACGGATCCGTCAATTTCGAGACATAACATTGAAAATTCTTTATAAAATTTATTGGTATACCCATTTATCTATCGTGCATTAATTTGCCATCTATCGAAATAATACGAAACATACATCTACATTGTCATTGGAATTGCTTTCGGAGACACCGTTTGAGTAAAGCCGCGAAGTACATCTTGACCCAGAACGGCCTACGAGAAACCATGGTTTAACAATCAACATATGAGATGCTTGTTATGCGATCTTTTTTTTTTTTTTTTTCGATTATCATATATATTTCACCAGTTGAGTCACGTGGAAATGTAATGATGACAAAGAAATAGAATACTATTCTCGTGCTTCATTAATAATTATAACATACAAGTTCTTGATTGCGAAGACTTGGACTTATCAGAGGTAGTCTTCCTCCTTATTCCGTCGAGGTCTGAGAATCCGAACCACCCGAACCAACGTTAATAATTCTGTCACTAAGTATTTATATAAAATTAATATATAAAATATTTTTTAAAACATTTTGAAAAATCGTATGATAGTCGTATCTTAAAAGCATCTCATTACGTCATATCATACTATCTTTATTTTTTTTTTTTGAACGCGTTTCTTCTCATGACGTAATTTATTTAATTGATAAACACATACAATATGTAATATTTTATTATAAATAAACATCTATATCCTCCGTTCGGCTTGGTTCTTCGCTTTGTTCTACGTTCTATCCTCCGTTTCACCATTAGTAACACGTCTACCTGTATTCGTATACCTATATATGTGAAAGTAGGCAAAGGTAGGTGAATAAAAGGTAAGTGAATAAAAGGTAGAGGGCATCGTTTAATATTACCCTTGGTTATATTGATAAAAATTTCTTCCCAAGAAAATCTTCTTAGGCAGGCGGTGAAGACTGTTGATAGTCGAGTTTTTTCTATGCTGGTTCTGGGGAAGGAATTGGCTTAAAAACTTGCCCCGGGTATATCCTGTGTTCTTCGTCTATCATTGCTCGACTCGATAGCGTAGCTCGAGCTCGTAGACTATCTACGACGCCTGAAGTCGCTCAAGTGGCTTGACTTCCAAATATGCTTATTGAATCGAGTTTCTTTGTTTTTCATAAGAAAAAACGAACCTTTAAAAATTCCCATATTCGTGCCAAATTCCCCACATTATCCCAAACTTCCCATATCGTCTCATATTCCCACAAGACTCCCCCATGCTCGTCTTTTAATTCACTCGCCCTCTACCTTTTTTATTATTTATTATTATTTTTTTTCAGACGGCTAATTGTAAGTCTTCGCTGGTTCTGGAGAAGGGATTGGCTTAAGACTTGCCTCGACGAGTTCCTCGGGTTAATCTCTTTTTTTTTTCTTTTTTTTTTTTTTTTAAAAAAAAAAATTAATTAATTAAATAAAAATAATATTATAGTATGTCGTAATATTATTAAATGAAGGTGAAAAGCTTATCTAATTACAATTTATAATTAAAAGAAGTTTCTTGTATTGTTGTATCACGTTTAAATAAAAAAACAATTTTTAATTAATAAAATTGACAGTTAGTAATGTACTGTATATACCATCAAAGCATATGATAACGGAAGTTAACTGTACGTAGCGCAGGAAAAAAAAGAACACCGAAAAAGCTATTATTCTTGTCAGCAGGCCTTCTCGTGGCACACGTTTTCGTCCGCATTCTCTGGATTCACCAATATTCCAGTATCCAGCAGCCGGACAGCCATTCATCTGGCACCATTTTGAAGCTATCTCCAAGGTTAGGAAGTGTTATTAGTTAGCTTGAAGTTTTTGTAGTTTTCTTCGTGATACCAATCGTTAGGAACCGCTGGGGGAATTAATACATCCCTAACTAATACATAATCGTTGGGTACCAATATTTCAAAGGCATCCTCAGGAGAAAATACGGTCTCTTTGCCATGTTTCCTAATTTTAATTCCAAGTGAAGTAAGTGTCTAACAAAATCCGGATGAGTTAGATAATACAGAATCTGATCTTGAATAAATAATTGGTGTCGAAGAAACTATAAACGAAAGAAAAAGACGGCGACGGAATAAAGTTTACCTTTTCAGACTTAACAATCCTACAACATGCGACTGGAACACGAGGTAAGGCTGTAAGCTGTGAAGCGTCAAATATAGTACCGGAATTTGATTCTCCATTGGAAGTATGAATATTCAATGATTCCTGCATTATTTTGGTGGTGCCTGTGCATCGAAATCATTTTTCCGCATTTGAACACAAACTTCGGCAAGGGCAGTCCACAAATTTTCGATCCAAAGATCCACGACCGTTTTAAGACTAAATTTACAAAAATAAATAACAGCGTATATGAACTGAAATCAATGGAATAGAATCTCCCCACCCTACCGCATCATCGACCAAGCCTTTGCCATAAAAAAGGTGAAGTCCCTAATTCAATAATTTCTTTTTCGATCGTTTTACCGTATTATTAAAATTTGAGTAATTTGTATCCCCGAGACCTAAATTAATAGAACGTTAAATATGAAATTATAAAATATAGATTCTGAAAATCACACCGAGCTTAGCGAACTTCGTTTGAATCAGAAAAGTCTTTGATTTGATCTTTCTTAGAAATCTGAAGAACTTCGTCACGTTATCCAGAGGATCGCTGTCTCCCATATTGGAAACTATAAAAATCAAAGTTTTTCCTCGAAAAGATTGACCTGACATATACAGTATGTGGAAGTTAAACATCTGAGCGTGATTATTCTTATCAGAAAGTTGTGATCGAACAGGTCTTAGTACATTCTTGACTGTGTTCATTTAGGACAAACATTCGCTGGAAAACCTGCGTTTTAAGGCTTCCTGGTATACATTTTTCGCTATTCATTCAGAATTCCCAGTTTATAATACGTAAAAAACCACTAGTTTCAAATTTTTTTTCTGTGGCCATCAAAATAATAATAATAATAATAATAATAATCTACCCATTGGTTATCAGATTAGATGGATAATTTGTTTTCTTTAACGAATGAGTCAATTAATTTCTTCGACAATTTTAAACTTTTCTTGAAAAAGGTGATTACAAAACCCGAGATTTTCATAGTTGCAGAAAAAAGTCTTTCCTTGGAAGCACTCATTATTTTGATAAACGCAAAGACAGAAGGATTCCCTAGAGTGACGAGGGATAACACAGTAATTTGGTTGAGAATGGAAGATTTAAGCAATGAGCAAATTTGAGATGGTACGCAAACCACATTATTCTTAAGATGTCAACGAGCAACCTGAAGATCTCGACGAATTGGTTAGTAGTTGCGAACAATGTGAAGATATGAAAAAGATCAGGCAGTCTTCGATTTTAGCGATACCACAGAGATACAGCATGATTGTTCCGAGATCGACAGTGAGGAAATCAATTCTCTAGATAAGGGATAGAATCAGAAGAGGAGGAAGAGGATCAGCAAGTATGAATATACTATATGTAATAACTGTTTTTTTAATAAGTCAATCTAATATAGTACTTGCAATCAATGGATGATGACGAATGGAACACAGCTTTTCACTCTGAACTTGATGACCAATTCTTTAACTTGGCCGAGTTCAATGAGACTACTGGGAACAATAAATCTTTCAAAATAAGTCCGCATGCTAACGCAAGTGATGAAGATGATATTGATTATTTCACCTGTATTTAAATGAGTCATCATATTTTTTCTCAGAATCTGTCTTATATATGGAACTAATATTGTATTTTAATTGAATTCGATTCCAATGAATTAACCAATGAAGAATAATTAAATGATAATCATTAAGATAGTACTTTACCATTATGATTATAACTACGATTATTCGTGGTTAATTAAGGCATTAGATTTTCTAGATATAATATGTGGGGACTTTTTTGATTTTCAAAAACCACAAATTCAGATCTTACACAATCTATTTGCCTAAGATGAAAGTGATGACAAAAATATATTAATTTATTATTAAAAGTTTGGTATACTATAATATATTTATTCGATGAATTTTGATAGATTATAAAAGCAATAAAAATCCAAAATCTATATTTAAAAAGAAATCAGCAATAATAATAATAATAATAATAATAGTAATTAAAAGTTGGAATTGGAAAATGTGATAAAAAAAGATTGAACATTTATTAAAGAGATGAAATATCTTTATATAGATATTTTCAAAAATAGTTAGTCTTGCTTTTACAAAAAAAAAAACAAATAAATAATTTTTAGGCAAATATAAATTATAAATAGTTTACTTAAAAAGAATCTGGAATTTAATTATATTGTAAAATAATATGATTTATTAAAAAATTGTAAATATACTTTTAAAAAAATACTAATTATTATTTTAACAAATTTCTGCTAAAACTGAGAAAATAAAGATATAAAAAAAAAAAACTTAAATATACGTAATTATTTATTAATATCTTACTAAATCAATATATACTGTAGTTATTATTAATTATACTGTATATTAAATAATATATGAAAAATTAAGTTTTTTAAAAAAATATTTAATAATATAAAGTATAAATCCAATTTTAATTTTTAACTATTTCTATTTTTGAAACTAATTAAAATATTAATCAAAAAATCAAAAATTATTAATAAAAATTTACAAAAAAATTATATAATATACTGTAAATTACTAAAAATTGATTCAATTAAAAAATATGGTTATTATAAATTAAATACTTTAGATTTTTACTATACTGTATATAAAAACTAGTATATAAAAGTTTATTTATTTTTAAAATTTTTAAATATTTTTTTTTCTTTTTAATAAGAATTAATATTAAAAATTATTATTATTACTATGAAATATTAAAAACCATTAAATCATTTTTTTAATTCTTTACCAAACTAATTATATATAATTTATTAAATAATTATAAACTGTACATTAATATGTTATACTAAAGTTATACTTCTAACTAGCTCACTTATCAAAGTTTTTTATGCAAAACTTTAAATACAACTTCAAGAATAATTTTTTATTTTATTAATAATTCAAGTAGAAATTCTTCCAACTTTTAATATTATTATTTGCAAGTTAATATTATAAATTACTTCTTGAAATTCTGATGAAAATCAAAACTAAATTATTTTATTCTATATTTAATTTCATTTTTTATAATTTTTACAAGGTTTTTGTTTATACTATATTTTTTTTCTTCTCTTTATCTTATAGTTTTATGGTTGGGATTATCTTGTAGAGCATCTTATTAACTTACTTCCTAAACCTTCCTATATTTTATTTTTTGTTGATTTTTTACTTTTATTTTAATTTTATGATCTTTTTACATCTTATATTTCAGACTTATTTATAGATTTGATTGCAAATTTTCTTTAATATTCTTAGGATCCATTTTTTTGTTATTGTTTCTAGTTTCTTATCTTGATAATTTAGATTAGCAGTTTCTTTAATTATATCACTTTCTACTAATCCTGTACAAAAGTTAAGTGTATTTAAATCAGTTTGCAAAACTGTTTTTACAAGTTTAAAAACCTATCAATTTACTTTATTATTCTCTTTTCTATTGTCAATTAATAATTTTACCTTCTTTTTATTTGCTTTCTTTTTTTTATCTCAATATAACTTATCAAATTTTTGAGAACTGTTTCAGATCCTTTTTATTATATTATTAAGATTCCATTTTTATAATCAGAACATTTTAATAAATGTTCAATTATTTTTATTTGTTAATTATATATTATATATCTTACTTGTTTGTATAAGTCATGTTTTCTTATTACTAGTTTATTCATGATAAATAGTTCATTATTGATTAATTTAATCAGAAAACTTCTTCTTTGCAAATCTTTAAAGAAAGTATCTTATGTATTACTATCCTTTAACCTATCCTATATTAAGTTTTATAAATAAGTTTAATGTTTTTAAACTTGGTGATACTATTTTGCTTCTATTCTATATTGTTATATTTATAACAAGATAGTTGATCTCCTATTAATTTGTTTAATGAATTATCAAATTGAACTATCTATCACATTTTTTATTATAATATTTCACTAGGTATCTTGCTTGATTTGAAACTATTTTATTCTATTGCTGGGAGCTTTAATATTTCTTTAACCAATCAATCTAATTCTTTATTTCATGGATTGTTAAAGTAAGCTTTAATTTTGGTTAAAGTTAATTGAATATATTTTTTCTTTACAAGATTTAGTATTCTTGTTTATAATAATCAATTCTTTTCTTTTAATTATCTTTTATATATCATCTGGAAATCTTCTTTTTTGAGCTTTTTTTATTTAAAAATGCAAACTTAACTATAAGCAAAGATCTTTATTGTACTATTTATTGAGGCTACTAAAACTATTATAACTAGTGCTACCAGTTTTACCCTTGTAAATGAAAGTCAATTTTTTACTTCTGTCTAGAATTTAATTTTCTTTTCAACTTCTTTAATTTATATTCATACTATTCTTATTCTTGCATTTTCATTTTCATAATTGATCAAGAATTGATTAAAGTAGAAGGTTGACTTCTTCTGTAATTCTTGATTACATTAAAAAATTTTGAATAAAATATTTTGATATATTTCTTGTTTAATATTGTTTCTGAGTATTTTTTATTCCCAATCTTCTATTAATACTTGTTCCATTCTTTTAACTTAATTACTTCTTGGATCTTATATTTTTAGAACTATATTTGCTATTATTATTCTATCAAGCTTAGGTAAAAGATGGAAAATTTTTAGTGGTTGAGTTTTCCTGATATTTTTTTGATAGTTTAGAAATAATATAATGTGAATCTCATATAATTCTACTTCTATACTATATTTATATTTATTTTTGTTATTTAGAGAATATCCTAAGTATTTGATAAGGATTGTTTCTAAACCATCTTTTATTTCTTGACAGTTGAAGTAACAGGTTATAACTATATCTTGACTATTTTCTCAGATTAGTTTTTATTACATTATTTATTGACTCTTTTTTTGAGTAATTACTTAAGTTTTTCTTTTATCTCTATCAGATCTAGGTTTAACATATTTTAATATCCATTTTTTTCTATTGTTTTTTCAGAGATTTGTAAGACCTTTTATACTTTCTTTAATTATAATTCTTTATAGGATATTATATTATCCTGAAATTGGGTTCTTGCTTATATTTTAAATAAGTTTAATCATTTTTTACTTTTTAAACTCTATAAAGTTTGGTTTAATAGCTAATTTATATATTTTAATCTATTATTTCATAAAGATGATATTGTCTTTCTATATTTTTCAAGTGATAAATGTTTTAAATTTGACTATTGCCTTTAATCCATTTGAAGATATTATTCTTTAAAAAATAATTTTAAGTTCTTGACTAATTTTAGTATCTATAATATAAATTTTCTTTTATTATCAAGATACAAGAATTTACATGAGAGAAAATTATAGGACTTTAATGTTTAATCTATACTTGTTCAATCTAATAACTATAATAAGTTCTGTTAAACCATAATTATTTATTCTACTATAAAGTCCTGTAATTTGACTTTCTTTTTAAAGCATACATATACTTTTGAGGTTATATATTTTTAGACAATGGATTATACTATTAGTAATAAATTGTATAAGACTATTTTATTTTTGAAAAGTTTATATTATACTGCTGTTAAGTTAGTACATATTTTCTATAACAATATACTATATTGTATTTTGAATTTTATTATTGAAATCAATATTCTATTTAATATATAAAGAGCTTGCTTATCAATTATATTCTTATTTTTGAGAGCTCTGATAATGATATTGATTTCTTTTAATACTCTTTCATTAAGTTTGATTATAGTTTTCTGATTACCTATCCAAATTTCTAAAAATCTTGTATACTCTTTCCTATCGAGTTCTCTAATCACTTCTTTATTAATTTTTATATAAACCTCTTTTAAATAGTAATTAGAATTATTAATAGTGACTAGTACCAATTTGCTACTATTAATCTAGAAGTCATTTGCTTTGTAAAAAATTCTTGCTATCTCTAAAATCTTTTCTATATTCTTTTTGAACCTTGCTATCTAAGTAATATCATCTATGAAGGCTATACACATATCTTAATTTTAACTTTTTATTAATATTACTATTTGATTTAGGATTCTATAAAACTGCTATTTTATATTTTTTTTCTTTGTTTTCTTGGATTTTATATAAAAAAAGGTCATAAAAGATTCTTCACATTAATGATGAAATAGTTTTTTTTTAATCAATTTTATCTCTTATCTTTATAGTTTTGTAAGATTATTTTCAAATATTACATTGGACTCTCTATTTTTAAACAGACTTATTATAATCTTGATGAATTTTTTATATATCTTGATTCTTTCAATTATTTTTGTCAGTACTTCCAGATTAATAGTATTATATGCCTCAACTGTATCTTAAAAGAGTATCTATAGCTCTTTTTTGTTTTTTCTTATATTTTCACAGATATTATTGAAAATTTAAATAAATTCTGTTATACTACTTCCAGTAATTCAACATAATTGAAATCTTTAAAAGTATTATTGATCTTGTAATAAAAATGGGACCCTAAAGAAGGAGATGGTGACAAAAGTCAAATGTCTCTTACTAGGAAAAATTAAAATTTTTAAATTAATAACTATAAAAAAACTATCCACAATTATTCTTCATTATCTAAATTATTGATTTATAATATTTT